GACACAATGGATTAGACCACTAGCAAAGGGAAGAAAGACAGTTTCTCAAGACAGGGCTATACTGCGGCTCAGAGAAACAAAAGCAGACAGAGCCTGAGCATGGGTGAGGAAAATTCTCTGTTCTCTATTAACCACCATGTATTTCCTATATGATCTTAAGTAAGTTTCTTTATCCCTTTAAGCCTCCATTTCCTTATCTAAGATACGAGTAATTGTGCATACCTCATAAGATTGCTCTAAAGATGAAGTTCTATCATCTTCCTAGTCAGACTGCTCAATATGATCCATTTTCTCTGGATCTCATAGGGGCGTATAAGAAAAAAGTGAATTGTAATAGCCAGACACTTGTGACTTGGGTCCTTAGCATGTGGATGGAAAGGTAAGCTCAACATGACACTTGGGCTGACTTTTCTATAATCTTTGCTTGCCTTCTTTTTTAAATTTGTTCTATTTAAGCATGACTGTATTGTTTCCACATTTTTTAAAAAACACTGCAAGTAATATGAAACCAGTAAGCAGTGCTTTTTTCAATATAACAGTACAATTGTAAAGGCACTATTGCCTGTCAGAGCTACAACAGAGCGCTGCCTGCATATTCTTCTTCCAGGGGCTCAAGAGAAAATCACTTCAGTTTAGAATCCCAGAATATATCCAAACTTTCACTAAATCTATGAGTTCAGAATACTGTCTCTGATAAGGATATAAGAGGAAGTGGTAGGACTTGGAAAATTAAAACAAAGTAATTACCAAAATGTCATATTGAGGACATCAGACAGCTAGAGAAGCAAAGCAAATTAGCTGAATTAAAATTCAAAAAGGGAAGATCCCTTCATAGGTGGGCTTAGATCACTGACATTTTCTTTTCTGGAAACATTAGCCACATTCAGGCATAGGCAGAGAGTGGGGTTTTAGACTATGCAGATGAAACTCTAGAAGGGAAAATAGATATCAGCAGAGACTTTGTGGGGTACATGGGTTGATGTTGTACTAGAATCTAGACTAGTCCTACCTTGGTGTGGTTGCTCATGCCTGTAGTCCCAGAACTTCAGGAGATGAAGGAAGTAGGAGGATCACTTATGGCCAGGAGTTCAAGATCAGCCTGGGCAACAATCAAAACCATATCTACACAAGTCTACAAAAAAAGAAAAATTAACAAGGAATGGTGGCACGTGCCTGTAATCCTAGCTACTCAGAAGACTGAGGCAGGAGGATCCCTTGAGCCCAGGAGTGCAAGGCTATAGTGAGCTGTGATCATGCCACTGCACTCCAGTCTGAGTGACAGGGCCAGATCCTGTCTCTAAAAATAAATACAATAAAATAGTCCCGAACACACAAAGAGCCTTCTATGTAGGATAACTGCTTTGTGCTTTTGCTGTACAAGAGACTAGAGGCCTTGCCTTAAAAAGCTGAATGAAATCTCTGTCACTCCACTCGGCTGCCCCTTGCTGACTTTGTGGAAAAAAGCCTACATGCACAATTGCTGGAGGAAGCAATTCTAAAAAAAACTGGGGAGGCTTTTCATTGCCTCATCTATATCTGGAACATGAGAGTTTTAGCCTTCGAAAAGGCTAAAACTTGTATTCCTTCTCTAACCCTTCATATTCCAATCATCCAGAAATGATGCTCCAACTAACTAAAACTGGACAGAGACGAGTGGAGATAATTTAAGATACGCTGATTTCCTTCCTTTTACTGTTGGGTACCAAACAATACCTCTCAAAGGTGGTAAGTCAAGTCATGGTGGTAAAAGTCTGATCTTTTTTTTTTCTCACGTACAAGAAATCTGGAGATCAGCCAATCAAGCTGGAACTGTGACTTCATGATTTCATCAGGAACTCAGATCTTTCTATATTTCTGTTCAGCTAGCCTTGGCTTCTGGCATTTGCCCTTTTGAAACCACATGGTAGCAAGATGGCTGCTCAGACAGAGGGAAGTAGGGGAAAGGGCAAAGGGCAAAGAACACAAGCTGGTCGGACTGCCCTTTTTTAAAGTGCCTGGAAGCATAATTAGCACATAGGAAGTATTAATTGTTGAGTAAATAAAATTAATGAATCCTTTATGACCCTGCCTGTACTGGGTTATGCACCACCTTATGTCCTCCCAGAATGCCCTGTGTTCAACCCTATATTGTACATAGTACATGTTTTTTGTTGTTGTTGTTGTTGTTTTCCATTCATTTTTCTCTCTCTAAAATAAGACTCCCCTCTGGATTCTTTTATCTAGCAGAGTGACTAGCAGACAATAAGCATTTACTAAATGTTTGTTGAATCATTGAACAAATTAATATAAGCCCCAGCCTTTAACCCCTTTATTCAACAAGATTTTTTAGTACCTTCTATGGGCCAGGTACTATTCCAGACATTTGAGCAAAACAGAGAAAGATCCCTGTCCTCATAGATTCTTCATTGTAATGGGGAAGAGGCAGAAAACTAACATAAACATAATACATTGAATTAAATAGGGGGTTGGAAGTTATTAAGTAGAATGAGTGGGAGAGCAGATGAAGACAGATGGTAACAGGATAAGGAGAGGGCCAATTGCAATTCTAATTACAGTGTTTCCAGAAGGCCTCATTCATAAGATAACATCTGACCAAAAACGTGAAGGAAGTGAAGGAACTGGCCAAGTAGATTTCTGGGGATATTCCAGGCAAAAGGAATAGCCAGTACAAGAGCCCAAAGGCAAGAATGAGCCGACAGGTTGAGAAGCAGCCAGGAGGCCAGTGAGACTGGAGGTGAATGAGGGCAGAGAAGAGTAAACGATGCTTAGGCCAGAGGAGTCAAGAATTAAATCATGTCAGGCCCCACAGACCTTTAGAAGAATTTTGATTTTTCACTTTGGGTAAAATTGAGAGGACTTCCAAAAATACATGTTTAAAAATAAGTATTTTTTCATAGTCTATTTACTTAATAGACAATGACATTAGCATCTGGAACCAGTTTGGAGAGGCCTCTCCTGTTGGGGTATTGAATTTATATCCAAAAATGACCCCTGCTCAAAAATATACTTTAAAAAATTTTTGAAAACACCTTAGTTTTTTTCCTACTGAACTCTAATTCCTAGCATATAAAAACTAACCTTAGTTTCAATTTCCCTTAAATATGTCTCAACAAAGCCATTCCTTGTTCTGATCTGTTAAAATAATGTGAAACATTTGTTCAGAAAAATTTTGCTTTGTTTGTAGATTATGACTGGAAGACTATAGATTGTACTTGACCATGGGAGACAGTCCTCAGAAGCCCCAAGAGTTTAACTACTCACTGAGGTGATCTATTTTTTCGTCTAATTTCACAAAGGTAAACTGTTAACAAACGTAAAGGTTTCATAGAGAAATTGTCTAGGAAAGGAAAGAAAGAGAGAGAGAGAGAGCGGCAGAAGGAAGGGAAGAGAAGGAAGGGAAGGGAAGGGAAGGGAAGAGAGGGGAAGGGAGGAGGAAGGGAGGGAGGGAGGAAGGGAGGGAGGGAAGGAAGGAAGGAAGGAAGGAAGGAAGGAAGGAAGGAAGGAGAGGGGAGGGGGAAGGAAGGAAGGAGGGAGAAAGAGGAAGGAGGGAGGGAGGAAGAGGAAAGAAGGAAGGAAGGAGGGAAGAAGGGAAGGAGGGAAAGAAGGAAGAAAGGGAGGGAGGGAAGGAAGGGGAGGGAAGGAAGGGGAGGGAAGGAAGGAAGGGGAAAGAAGAAAAATAGTTCAGGTAGAAAAATACAAGGGTTTTGGCAGAAAAGGCATATTAAAGAAGTAGAAAGAGGAGGCTGAACAGTGTTTCTGAGAAAGAAAAAAACCTGGATAATGTCCTCCTTACTATATAGTGCTGGGCATAGTTTTAATCATTGGTTAATATCAAGTGTCGTATTGGATTAGGCATGGCTAAAATAGACTTTAATTTGGTGTAATCATGGGTACTTTTATTCAACTTTCTATGAGATTACAAACACCTTTGTCACACCCTCATCTCATAGCAGTTGTGCAATCAAATGGTTTTAGAGCTATCCACAGCTTCCCAGGCCTTCCTACTCTAGATCAACTGATATTTGATTTGAGTGTGGGTATGGTTTCTGCCAAAAGAAGAGAGAGAGAAAAAGGCAGAGAGAGAGACAAAGAGTAAGAAAGACTCAATGTTTCAAATCTGTTTCATGATTACTTCCAAAGTGGTCTTTTGTGTAAAATACACAAAATTTCTCTTAAAAGAGAAGTGAAATCGTGACATTTTCTTTGGTATTATTCTACTGTCTTGGAAACTGCCCCAAATCAGGGGAAATTCTGTATAAAGGGGGAAAATCCTAATGGACTGACAATTTTTAGGTCTTCTCAGCAGCTTTTAATTTTCCATGAATGGTATATAATGATTCATCTAAAAATATGAAAGATAAATTATGAAATGTGACCATCTAGAAGGTTAAAGAATGTGATTTCCAGGATTAAAGAGGGTCACATAATTCCTGACACAACTACTTTATTCTGAAGTGGTTTCAGTCTTGTTGAGACTCAACCAACAGCTGTTCTACAGTGAAGAATGAAGTCAGGAGAGGGACAGATCAGTTTCAGAGATTGTCCTGGACATTCTCAGCCCCACCATGACATTTCCCAACCTTATCCCATTCTGTCCTCACTTCCCCGCTTTCGTGCACACATCAACCTCCTGCCCTCATTTAGTGCAAGCATTACTAATCGCCACACTTTGTCTGAACTGCTCACTCTTTCACATGGGGCAACAGAGATGCCTCAACCTTGCCTGAGCAAAATGTGAGAAAAGAAACTCCAGGCTAGAAAAACGGAACAAACTCCCACACAAACCAGGCCTCTTAATATTTCTATACACTGTTTTTGGTACTTTAAGATCTTCCTGTTGCAACTAAGAGCCTGGTCTTAAGAGAATCAATAAGGGGATGAGCCACAAAGTCACAAATAAAAAACATCAAATTAAGATGAAGTAGAACTTAAAACGTTGCAGTGACTAACTACAAAGAGAAGACAAAAGTTACCCGATCTTCAGTTTACGGCAGTTCATAAATGTATACTTTCTGATCTTCCATTGCATCTGAAACAAAACATAAAACAAGATTATGAGTTTGTTCTATCTTTGAGTTCCTACCAAATATATTGCCCTCGTTTTCTGTTTTCATAACACAATAAAAAAATAGGCAAGACAAAACACATAGGAGGAAAAAACATGGATAAGAAGAGATTGTTTACACTTCAGGATTCTGCTGCCTTTAAAGTTGCTAATAGTCACGTTTCCACAATTTGCAGCTGACTCTGGTCTACAGCAAATTCACAATTTACAAGCATTCTAAGTCCCCTACCCCTAGTTCGGTCTTAGCTGATCTTTGAGGGGTTAGTTGTTCAACCTTTCCTTTTATTACTTAAGGTACCCGAGGGTATTCCAGTTATCTTCCTATTTACCTAAGCTACTTAATAGTCAATATGGGGCTGCTGACACTTGCAACTATGAAAATCCTATCTAAAACAACAGACAACTCAATGTGCCTCCGCAACAGGAGGGAGCTGGATGAGATCTGCAGTTGGGAGGATCGATATCCAGCTATGAGCATCTAAGAAAAAGCAGGAAAATTAAATTGGGGTTGGAATTTACAGAAATCAACTAACTAAATAAAAAAGGAAATCCAAGACGAGTAAATATTGATAGGGAAAGAAGCAATCTGGAAGATTGGCCCAGTGAATACAGAGTTGCAGTGGTAGGAGGGGCCCCACATTTGGAATAGATGGATTGCCAAATTTACTAAATTTTAGGAAGAAGTCTAGGCAAAGAGCTCTAACATCATAAGAAAAATGGAAAACATCCTAGCTATGACAAATTCTGTCTAAATCTTAATTTCTCTGGGACTAGTTTTGATCAGTGTAGAATTTCAAAAGGAGACCTTCCCATGCCACTACCATAGCTGCAAGTTGCTGATGATCGCCTTTGAATTCTACACAAAGAAAACTGAAAAAAGTTAGCTGATTTGATCAAACTCACACAGCAGGAAAAGGTATCGCTGTGAGAATTGACTCACAGTCCTTTGAAATGTGAGATTTCTAAGCAGCAAGATGAACATGTCACTGGGATTCAACAGACTCGAAGCCTTTCATTTATTTTTTAAAATAGAAGAAAAATAAGATGGCAGATAAAGGTTAATAAAAAATACAGAACAGGCACAGAAAACAGTGGAACACTGCAGACCACTTGTACTCACAATAATAGTAGAATACTGCTAAGCATGACCACTATCTGTTGACTTAAAGCTACTTTCTCAAGTAGGAAGATTATTACTAGAAACAAATGTCCAGCAAGTCTAATACCAACATTTAGTAAAATAAAAATAATAAAATGTATAGGTATATATATTATATACACATATTATATAAATGTATATACTTTATATATACACATATATGTAAATGGACATAAAAACAAAGCATTAGAAAGGACATGAAGAAAGTGGAGTTAATGTATTTGTGAGCAATAACTGGCATGGTTTTGGAAAGAACAGACATGTCAGGAAACCTTGAGAGATTTTTGTAAGAAATTTATATAATTAATGAGGAAAAGCAAAGCAAATAAGTCTCCATTGTTAGCCACCTCAGTGTTTTGTAAGAGCAAAAGCAAATGAAATCACTGGAATACTGTTATTAGAAACTTGGAAAGTTAACAGTCATTTATTGAAGTTGCTCTCTAACATTTAAAATATGCCTCTGTATTAGGCCATTCTTGCATTGCTATAAAGAAATACCTGGTACTGAGTAATTTAATTTTTAAAAAAGAAACTTAATTGGCTCATGGTTCTGCAGGCTATCCAGGAAGCATAGCACTGGCATCTGCTTCTGGGTAGGCCTCAGGAAGCTTCCAGTCATGGCAGGAGGTGAAGGGAGAGCAAGTGTCTCACATGGTAGGAGGAGGGCAAGAGAGAGAGAGTTGTGGGGAGGGAGGTGCTGCACTCTTTTAAACAACCAGATCTTGAGAGAACTCACTCACCATCATGAAGATCCTCTCCCATGAGCCAATCACCTCCTACCAGGTCCCACCTCCAACATTGGAGATTACAATTCAACAAGAGATTTAGAGGGGACACATATCCAAACTATAGCAATTCTGCCCCTTGCCCCTCAAACCTCAGTTTCTTCTCACATTGCAAAATACAATCATGCCTTCCCAACAGTCCCCCAAAGTCTTAACTCATTTCAGCATTAACTCAGAAATTCAAAGTCCAAAGTCTCATCCGAGACAAGGCAAGTCCCTTCTCCCTATGAGCCTATAAAATAAAAAATAAGTTACTTACTTCTAAGACATAGTGGGGGTACAAGCATTAGTTAAAAATTCTCATTCCAAAAGGGAAAAATCAGACAAAAAAAAAGGGGGCTACATGCTCCATGAAAGTCTAGAATCCAGCAGGGCAGTCTTTCAATCTTAAAGCTCCAAAATTATCTCCTTTGACTCCATGTCCCACACGGAAGGCACAATGGAGCAAGGGGTAGACTCCCAATGCCCTGTGGATTTGTACGGTGCAGTCCAAGTAGCTGCACCGTACAAACGTTGGAACTGAGAGCCTGTGGCTTTTCCAGGCACAAGGTACAAGCTGCCAGTGGCTCTACCATTCTGGGATCTGGAGGATGGTGGACCCCTCCTCACAGCTCCACCAGTCAGTGCCCCAGTGGGGACTCTGTGTGGGGGCTCCAAAGCCACATTTTCTCTCCACATTGCCCTAGTAGAGGTCTCTGTGAGGACTCTGCCCCTGAAGCAGGCTTCTGCCTGGCTACTCAGGCTTTCTTGCACATCCTCTGAAATCTAGGTGGAGGCTGCCAAGCCTCATTCACTCTTGCACTCTGTGTACCTACAAGCTTAACAACACATGGAAGCTGCCAAGTTTTATAGCTTGCATCTTCTGAGGCAGCAGTCCCAGCTGTATCTGAGACCCTTTGAGCTGAGACTGGAGCCAGAGCTACCAGGATGCAGATAGCAGTGTCCTGAGGCTGTACCTAGCAGTGGAGCCCTGGGCCAAGCTCACAAAACCATTCTCCTAGGCCTCTAGGCCTGTGATGGGAGGGACTGCCCTGAAGGCCTCGAAATGCCTTTGAGGCCTTTCTCTCATTGTCTGGGATATTAGCACTTGGCTCCCTTTTCCAAGTATCTCTAGTAAGTGGTTGCTCCACAGCCTGCTTGAATTCCTCTCCCCCAAAAGCTTTTTCATTCTCTGTCACATGGCTAAGCTGGAAATTTTCCAACCTTTTTTTCTCTGCTTCCCTTTTAAATAGAACTTCCAACTTTAAGTCATTTCTTTGCTTTTACATATAAGTGTAGGTTGTTAGAAGCAGCCAGGTCCCATCTTGAACACTTTGCTGCTTAGAAATTTCTTCTGCTAGACACTCTAAATCATCAATCTGAAGTTCAAACTACCACAGGTCCCTAGGGCAGGGGCACACTGCAACCAGGCTCTTTGCTAAGGCGTAACATGCATGACCTTCACTCCAGTTCCCAATAAGATCCTCATTGCCATGTGAGACCTCCTCAGCCTGGACTTTATTGTCCATATCACTATCAGCATTTTGATCATGACCATTTAACCAGTCTCTAATAAATTCCAAACTTTCCATCATCTTCTTGTCTTCTTCTGAGCTCTCCATACTCTTCCAACCTCTGCTTGTTACCCAGTTCCAAAGCTGCTTCCACATTTTCAAGTAACTTTATAGCAGTTCCCCTCTCCTCAGTACCAATTTTCTGTACTAGGCCATTCTTGCATTGCTATAAAGAAATACCTAAGACTAAGTAATTTATGTAAAGAAAAGTGGTTTCATTGGCTCATGGTTCTGTAGCTTGTACAGGAAGCATAGAGCTAGCATCTGCTTCTGGGGAGGCCTCAGGAAGTTTCCAATCATGGCAGAAGATGAAGGGGGAACAGGTGTCTCACATGGCAGGAATGGGAGCAAGAGAGATAATTGTGGGGGACAGGGGCCACACTCTTTTAAACAATCAGATCTCGAGGGAACTTACTCACCATTGTGAAGACAGCACCAAGCTATGAGGGATTCTCCCCTAGGATCCAATCACCTCCCACCAGGCCCCATCTCAAACACTGGGAATTACAGTTCAACATGAAATTTAGAGAGAACATAGATCCAAACTATTATCACCTTCCATTACAAATCCTCTACATGCAGATATTTGAGTACTTCCATTATTTTTTTGCATTTATGTCATTGTTATGTAATAGAACATTCTATCCCCACTCCAAATAATGTGTCAGCGTTCATTTAGCATAGTTCTCCATTTATTTTGGGTTTGGGAATAAGGCACCTGCTTCTGTACTTAGGAAATTTTATTTGCAAAGCATGGTCTAGAGTCAGACATAACTACTCTCTCTTGTTGAAAGGATTATAAGTGATAGTGTGACATTAAATGAAAATAAATCCAATGTGGAATAAATATACCAGAGATAATATTATCCAAAGATTTCCTCAGTGCTTTCAAGAATGTCTTGGAACATGGGCCTATTATCGAGAACTTAACTGGTAAAATTAGATTTAGGGTGAATGAGGCTTATTGAATCACATAAGCTCAGTTCACTGAAGGTCCCACATTCTATTTTCTTGTAAATTCTCATATTCTAGAAAGGAGGCAGTCAATGTTGACTGAAAGACTAGAGCAGAGTGAGAAAAAGAAACTAGATTCTTATCTTGCTCAGTTGCACCTACTGAGATCATTGAAGTTCAGTGTGTTTCAGATATTTGCTCTTATTAAAACCCATCATATTTCTTCATAACAAAATCATAAGCAAGTCTAAAATGTTTAATCTTTTCATTCATACATGATATAAAGTTTTCACCAACCCTCTATACACGCATAGAGAAAAATCCTTCTAAACTCACTTTTGTTGCAACTTTTTCAAATTTTCAAATAAACTCTATGAAATTTAGCTGAAACACTTTTAGTACTCTTACCTATAAACCTTGAAGACAGGAAGCTCTGAGTGGTTATGCTAATTCAACAAAGTCATTCAGTGTCCTTGTGAAAGTTTGCAAAGCTTTGTGAGTACATATGGGATC